GTAAATGTTGAAAACTGAACTGGATAAATTTTAATTTTGCAAACATAAAAACAGGACACTTTTTCATACTAAATTTCTATCAGTTTAATAATTTACACTCACCCAGCTGAAACCCGTCTTCTGCATCTTTTTTGCTGTAGCTGGCAGAAGTGATGGACACCCACTTCATCTTCTTGACCATAGGGGGCACCACCAGTTCACGGGGAACCTCTGTGTAGAAAACATGGGACTCAGTGGGTGTCATGGCGGGGAGCTCCGTCTCCTTAATCTGGCCATAGATGTATCTGGTGGGGAGAGGGAGAAGCTTTTGATAGGCGTAAAAGTTTAATTAACTGTCAATTTCCTAGAGAATTCAGTCTATGCAAAATCATTTTATATTGTATTTTAAAGATGCAATTAAGAGATTTGGGTGCCAGCTTCTTAATTTTCAAATCATCCTGTGTGTGTGTGTGTGTGTGTGTGTGTGTGTGTGTGTGTGTGTGTGTGTGTGTGTGTGTGTGAGATTAACAGACTCTGACATTCACAAATGGTGATTGACTATCGAGATTCTGTGGTTCTGTAAAATTTTCAGATGTGATGGGGAACCCTCCTCTATCTAGTCACATGGTATGTGTCAGGTCTATTTCCAGAATAAATAAATTCTGACATGAACTTGGTTCAACACTTACTTCACACCAGCTAATCCAGAATCCCCATCTTTATAGCTAATATCACTGCTGCTGGTCCCAGAGTTTAGATTAAGGGAGATTTTGTTTGGCCCTGTGGTGCCGTCTCTCTGGACCTCCACCTCTACCACCAGTAGCTGGGGGACAGCCCTGTGAGCATACATCTTCTGGGTGATGTTGTAGCCCTTGCCTCGGATAACTTGGGTGAAAACACCTGGAATTCAGTTCAACTGAACAGTAACACATCCTGCTGAGGGTTACATCATATGAGAAACTTACATGTGTGAGTTTATTCATGAGAATTAATTCTGGCATGTAATTATATAATATTATTCTTTTTACAACTTATAATAAACAAATTTTTGTGAAAATATTTTTCAGGGTTAAATTCCGGAACATCTGCCTTCAATTATGCCAAACAAAAAAAAAGTAAGTGAAGTAATAGTAAGTTTTATTTTCTTTCAAAATATCTCTCGGGTTTTTTTTCTTTCAAAATATCTTCAAATACCTTCTGCCACATTCAGTGCATATAATCTGACCAGCGGACCCTGTGATGGCTCCACAGCAGTGATGTTCACTGCACACGAGGAGGGAATCCTTGCCCTGTGACTTGACGTCAGGCGGCCATTGTATAACCCATTCATGTAGATGGCGTCACTGTACACCACTGTGCCCACATGACCATTGCCAATGGTGGGAAGGTAACGTGAGTTTATAGGCATTCTGAAAATAATATGGTTTATATCAATTTTTGATGAATTTTTGGTCATGCAATAAATATATGCATGAATAAAAGTTTCAAAAAAAGAATAAAAGTTATTTCATAAGCTCAGTACCTGTAATTTTATATTTCCAAACTTAAAGTAAGAAACATGATAAATGCATAAAATTCACAATCATAACCAGCATTTTATTATCCCAATATGATTAACACACTTACTCTTTCTGTGTAGCTGTAAATATGTAGTTTTCAACTGGAACCCAATTAGGAATAGTGCTTGGGGCAGCTGGCAGGTCTGGGAGTGGATACTGACTATCTGCTATGATAAGTACTTGTTCAGCATTTGTGGCTGATTTTGGTGCTCCACCCAGGCCGCCAGTCTGTGGCATCTCTTGTCCTTGTGGCACTTCTTGTTGCTGATGCTGACTTGCTGCTTTCTGAGCTGGCTGGTGAACTAACTGTTGTCCATCTTGAAGTTGTACATTTGGTTGTTGTCCTGGTTGGTTCACTAGCTGTTGTCCAGTTTTCCCTTGCACATTTGGTTGTTGTCCCGGTTGGTTTACTTGCTGTTGTCCTCCTTGAAGTTGCACATTTGGTTGTTGTCCTGGTTGGTTCGCTAGCTGTTGTCCTGCTTGAAGTTGTACATTTGGTTGTTGTCCTAGTTGGTTTACTATCTGTTGTCCTGCTTGAAGTTGTGCATTTGGTTGTTGTCCTGGTTGGTTTACTAGCTGTTGTCCTTCTTGAGGTTGCACATTTGGTTGTTGTCCTGGTTGGTTTACTAGCTGTTGTCCTTCTTGAGGTTGTACATTTGGTTGTTGTCCTGGTTGGTTTACTAACTGTTGTCCTTCTTGAGGTTGTACATTTGGTTGTTGTCCTGGTTGGTTNTCCTTCTTGAGGTTGTACATTTGGTTGTTGTCCTGGTTGGTTCACTAGCTGTTGATCTTGAAGTTGCACATTTGGTTGTTGTCCTGGTTGGTTTGCTAGCTGTTGTCCTTCTTGAGGTTGCACATTTGGTTGTTGTCCTGGTTGGTTTACTAACTGTTGTCCTTCTTGAGGTTGTACATTTGGTTGTTGTCCTGGTTGGTTCACTAGCTGTTGATCTTGAAGTTGCACATTTGGTTGTTGTCCTGGTTGGTTTGCTAGCTGTTGTCCTTCTTGAGGTTGCACATTTGGTTGTTGTCCTGGTTGGTTTGCTAGCTGTTGTCCTTCTTGAGGTTGTACATTTGGTTGTTGTCCTGGTTGGTTCACTAGCTGTTGTCCTTCTTGTCCTTCCATATTTGGTTGTTGTCCTGGTTGGTTAACTAGCTGTTGTCCTAGTTGTTGTTGCACATTTGGTTGTTGCCTTGGTTGGTTCACTGACTTCTGTACTGGCTCTTGTTGTATGTTCGATTGCTGCATGTATGCCTGTCTTGTCCCATTTTCTGCCTGATTTTGTCCTTTCATTGCTGCTTGCTGATCACTGGCCTGATTTCTAATGTTCTGCTGTACTGACCCCAGGAATTGTGAATTAGATGGCAACTGATGACTACCTAGCTGTGGCACTGGATGTTGCTGGAAGCCTGACTGTTGTTGTCTCCCCTGTAAAACTAATTTTTGCTGCTGTGAGTCTGACTTTTGTGTTTCAGAAAGATGTTGCTGTATTTGTCCATTGTGTGGTGCATCCGATTCGTGATGCTGAATAAGTGAGTTTTCATCTGTTTTATCTTTTGGCGAGGTGTCATTTTTTATAGTTGCATTGAGAATGATATTCTTATTCATACTATCTGGCTTAAGAATACTCATATTTAAATGTGTGTGGCTAGCTGCAGGGATATCAGGCTGTCCTTCAAAGGGATTCCGTTGCTGCATAGTGGCCTTAGTAGTTTCGCTTCTAAAATTGTTTTGTTGTATCTGTTTTTCCACTGGCTGCTGCTGCAAGTCTTGGTGTGATGCATAGTGAAGAGAAGGTAGTCCACCTTTGTATTGTATACCTTTAGGAGGTAATGACTTACGAGTTGTTAGTAGCAGATTACTACTGGGATTCTGTACATATCCTTTTCCTTCCAACTGTTCCATCTGCACATGTTCCATTTCATTTTCGTGTTTACTTATCTCATCAGCTATTTCTTCTTCCTCCTTCTGTTCCTTCAGGACTGTCTTCTGAGTCTCCTTCACAACTCCATTTCTTGATTCTCTTTCATCCTCTACCTCATCAGTTCTTTGAAGAACATCAAAACCTCTACCATTTAAATTCAGAGCACCTTTTTTTCCACTGGAATAGTTCTCTTTCTTACTGTCCCTTCCTCCCTCTTTTTCCACCATCTGTCCTTTTTTACTCTGTTCTTTTCCTTTCCCAGTTTCAGCTGCTATTGCATCAGCATGGTTATGGAGAGGACCACCGTGAAGGTCTAGTCCATGAAGGTGGTGACTTTTAATTTTTTCATCCCAGCTTTTCTCAACATGTGGCTTGTGTGTTGCATTAAAATCATCTGATGCTGTGAACACAGTGACATATAAGAAATATGCCAGAACTGTAGGTATTACAAGCAGCAAGATTCTCAGTCTTCGCTTGTTTATCATGTAGACCAACATGACTGTGCTGAAGATAGATATAATAATAAAATATTAATACATCAACATTAGGAAGACAGTTAATATTCAACCTGTGCTTTTTCCCCAAAAAAATCTTTCTTACAGTCACCATATGGATGACTCTAGAAATAAGGTAATACTGTGAAAGAGACATCGATCTATTATGATATAAAGTTAACTTACAAATAAGTTTCTCACATCCTCATTGCCCCTTTGACATAAATCTGGTGGATAATATGTACATCTTTGGGCAATCTGGGAAAATCCAAGATGGCCAGCTAGCTACATCATTCATAATAAGTAGTGATTATGCTGTTAATGCAAATTATGCAATATTCCATCAAAATTTATAGTACAGTTACAGAGTGTGAAAAAACAACTTTTGTTCTCTGGCCCTTGGAAGTGAATTTATCATTACTTCATTTATCATGGAAAATGATGTGATTGTGAGATCTAGGCATAATTCAAACCTCAATGGCCAACACACAAATATCTGCTACCATGCTCCAATTTTTACAATAATGGCAGAGCTGTAGCTCTGCTACATCCCATCTTTATTTTGATCAGTGAACATTAGAACAGGGGCACTGGAAAACATATAATAAGAGTGACTGGATTTCATGGGGAACAAGAGACATTTGAACTTTCCGTCACTTGCTAGGGCTTTCACTGACCTTGAACAGCAAGTGACCCAGTGAAATGACATAGAAATACTATCAATGTCCTAAAGCTGGTGGTAAATTCTCTATAACTGGGTGACAGGGTCAACTTACCCAACTATAGGCTTACTGTGCTATACAGTACATGGAGAATACAAAAGATCACCCAATATTGGTCAATGAAGAATGCTTTACCAATGAATCTTGGTCATGCCACAGTTTAGTACTTTTATCAATCGTGTCGATAGTCATGTTGATCAACTGATAAATATAACATAATGCTTACCAGTACTAACACCACAAAATTTTAATAATATAATATATATATATATATATATATATATATATATATATATATATATATATATATCATGGATATTCAGAAAATGTGATAAGCAAAGGTCTTCAAGCCCATGGAAGTTGAAATACATACCTTGAAAATACCAATTTATGAAAAATGATCATTTCACATAAAAAACTGTAGCTTTATTCTTAGTCTAAAAATCATTCTTGTAAGTTTGAGAATGATAAGATAATGGAACAAATCCAATCACGGTTTTCACATGTACTGAATAGTCCTTGGTCCAACTTTGACACAATATATAGCCATATTTGATTGCGAAGCACAAGAACCAATGCCCATCACCCGATGTGTGCTTTAATACTCTAATTTCTACAATGACGACAAATGTTTCTTTACCCAATCCCATCTTTATTTTGACCTGGGAATGTTAGACAATGGACCACCCAGATAACATGCCACCATGTATAATTGGAGTTTGTATTTTTGTATGCAATAGAGCTTTCCTGTGTGGCACATTTGTGATTATTCAAAATACAATGTTCTATCTGTATTTTTTCAGCATGGAATTTGCTATACTGTGTATGTACAGGGAACCGAATCGTTTTTTTTTTTTTTTTTTTTTTTTTAACCATAAAAAATCCGGATTATTCAGATAGTGGTGTGAATCGACTAATATCCCAATAATTACTCAATTATCATCCCCGCAGGTTATGGATTTTAAGTTTCGATGTATCGCTAAAATTCTTCGAGTGATATTAACAAACAGATGGATAATTTAAAAATGTTGGGAACCTCTCAGTAAAGAAAAAGTTCATGTACCTACCCGGTTTCATCAATCTTTAAAGTGTTGGGTTTTGATCGAAGCAATTCAAAAGATGAATTTGAAAAATTCAAATACGTGTTGGATCCACTTCATATCATGACCAAAGGGTCGAGTGCACGTAAAACGGAGAACTAGCGACTTTATCTCATCATAATATAATCACACTAATAACATAGTCGCAGGCTCAAATCATTGCATTTGACGTTCACAAGGAATTCGAAAGAGGGCACTATCTTCAAGACACGCCATATAACTAGGTTAAAACACTCTCGGCAAGAGGAAAATAGAACAGACGTGGTTCTGACTATAATATACGAAATGTAATAGACCAATTTAGTAGCCTGTGGATTATTTCATAACCATCAAAGAAATGAAACATTTGAACGCGGAAAAGGTCATTGTGCGACATCGGTTGTAAGTTAACTCCCCACTTAAAGCGGGTTTCCACAGGTTCCTAACTCTTTAACAAAGTAGATATATTCGGCGTGTAAGTAAGCTTTTAGTGTGTTGTATTAACGTTGATCTTATTTACACCACTGTTACAGAATAAGATGATTTAGTTTAATTTAAATCAAGCAGCCGCTAGTGCAGCGTTTTGAATCAATGCTTTGGCATTGAAATAAGAGAGTTACGGGGATGATGGTGGTGGTGGTGGGGGGGGGGGGGGGTACTGTAAAATTACCCAAAATTCATGTGCTTAGCACTCCTATTGAAATCTACTAGAAATCTGATAGACCGTCTGCTGAATTCCTCCAAAACAAAGTCTGTAAAATGTGTCCAACCTAGTCTAGTCTAGGTTCTGGAGGTGAACTCAGTTGCAATCCAGTTGTTCTGATTAGCATGCTTTTAATGTAAAGTATAGCGGCCTGCTATGTGAATACATTTTCCTTTTGTGGCATGCTTTGTAGCAGAACTATAAGGCCACGTGCATCACTGCAAGCGCATTGTTGATTTTGGCATGATCTGTCATGGTTTAATTGTTTTATGGCCAATATATAGGGGTCTTTTTAAAGGAAGAAATGGATAGAAATGGACTGATATAGACCCCTAGGTATGCATATTTAGGGCTCAAACAGGAACTTTTTATACCCCACTGTTGTTATTTAGGTTTGTCAAGATGGAGACCAAGGAAACCAAGGACGATCAGTCAATCCAGAACAAGCATGTTAGGAGACGGAAAAAGCAATTGTACAAACAGATAAGATCGCAGGTAGTGTATAACTGCTGAAATGACACCATCCCTTTCTATGATACTGCTGTCCAATATTATCCAAGTTTCTTTTAATTCCCAGTCTGCACTTTACAGAACTCGAGCTTTTAAGCAAGTATGCAGGTGTCTATAAAATCCTAGAAATATAATACCAGATGTGAAATAATTTCCTATAAGTCCTTGGCGTATGATTTATATCATTGTGGTTATTTTCAGATGGAGTTTTATTTTAGTGATTCAAATCTTTTGAAAGACAGGTACTTGAAGAAACTCATAGATGATACACCAGATTCATGTAAGTGTTAAATATATTAGTTAGACTTTTTATGTACAGACACAGATGTGTCTGTACATATTGCCATCACCTGCGTCTGTCGTCGCCGATGGCGATGCCGATGCCGATG